TTGTCATACATCATCTTGTTAATTACCTTTTCCTTTGCACATGTCTTTCTCTAGCTCCGTTGTAACTTTCTTTTGAAAGGACCTGGCTTTAAACTTCTTTATACCTCCTGAAGCTTTTTTGCTTTTCTTTTTTCATGAGTTAGACTTGGCTTTTGCCCTTCAGAAGTTTGCCACTTCGAGGTGGATTTAGGTATATGAATATATAATTAGGATACAGTGTGTTTTATCAAGATGTTTGATAAGGGAGAAGATGGGAAAATCGATTCGAGCAGAGGCCCCAGCCTAGGCAGAGGCATGAAAATGGAAAAGAGCATAATGTGTGTGGGGAAGTAAAAGAAATGAGGTGAGAGCTGAGTGGAGAGTGTTAGGAGTGAGGTGATGGGAGATGAGCCCGGAAAGTAATCATAATAACGATAATGTCCAAGTGGAAGCCAGGTCGTTAACCATCCTGAGAAGCATGCTAAGGAGTTAAAATGCTCCCAGGCAGGGAGGAGCTATTGAGTCATTTTAAAGTTTTAAGTTTTTAATATGATGCCTCTGGTAGCACAAACCTCTCAGCTTATCTGCCTGTCTGACTTGAAATATTTCTCCTGTTTGATACTTTATCTCTGTGGATGGGAGTTTGAAACACACAATTGTTTCATTCATTCTGAGAAGTTTCTGGTTGGGTTTATGATCCACTCCATGTTTTCAGCCTCATTTTTCTTTTAAGAATGACGTTGAAGATTAAGTTTCTTCTTGAAACATCATTCTTCTCTGGGCTATCATATCAGCCTGTGCCCTAATTTGGAGTCTTGAACATAGAGTGAGGATAAGGTTTTCTTTTTTCATGGGTAGTTGTGCTAGGAAACAACATCATTAAGTACTGGGAATGTGGAGGCAGGATCATTTACTGAGTGGGGAATTAGGGAGCTCTGTTCCCTCCCTCTTATTCACTACACACAGCATATAGCCCAGGTAGAATGCCTTTGCAATTAACAATAACATAGTTGGATGATCTTGTTTTAACTGGTCATCATGTTGTTCCTAGACCATGGTGTCATTGCAGTAGCTGCCTCATTTCCCCCACGAGTTCCCTCCGCATCCAGAAGCAGCAGAAACCTCCCAGCTTTCCTGGACATTGCAGTGGGAGGAAAAGTGTGAAAGCTGCTTCTCTCTGCCCTGAGGCTGACAGGGCGGCTGCTGCCTGGCCTTGAATCTTGGACATAGTGCTCTACCTCCACCCTCTGCTGAGACCAGCTGCTGTGTGAGCTTTGAGTAGTAGCCTCCTCCCCAGAAATGCTGTGGTTTTATGAATAGATGATTTAAAAAAAAAACTGTTCTCTTTGGTTTCTTTCAAACTGGGTGATTGCTTAGCTCAAAGGATTGCTGTTGGAATTGCACAAGTCTTTGGTGCCAAATCATATACCCGAAATCACTGTTGATTTCTTTTTTCTTGAAAAGACTAGTTTTTGTTAGTTGCTTGGTAACTGGAAGATGAGAAAGACTTAACTCATTCAGCACAGAGAGCTCCTGGTTTGAGCTGGATTAAACTATTCACGATGAGATACAGCTAAAGTTGGCATGTGTTGATGACCTGCCCTTAGTTCTCTTTAACTCATACACCATTTGTGCATGGAAGGTGTTTTGGGGTGCACATAAGTTAAGAGAGTTGCCCAAAATTGAAATTGAAATCTCTGAAACTTTTGCAGCTGTGTACAAGAATATGTTTTTGGAAGGGCTTTTGTTTTTTTTTTTTTTCTTCTGTAAAGAATAGCAACAGCTTCCATCGTCTTCCAATGTCGTTGAATCGACATTTCCAACAGCTTCCAATGTCGTCGAATCGACATTTCCAAAAGGCCCCAACCCATAGCTCTGACTGGCCTGGGAGCCTCAGGGTGGTAACTCTGGCACAGTGGAAGGAAAGAACACTTGCTTCAGAGCTAGCAGCCCTGTGTGACTTTGGGCAGGGCCCTGTGGTCTGACGCTCAGTTTGTCTTGCTGTGGTGTGTGAGTATTATATATCACCTGCACACCTCTGAACCACTCTGAGAAGTACGTGGGAACATGATCATAAACTGTGGGGGAAATGAGAGGACAATCCCTGTGTCCTGATGCAAGCCCAATGGTTACAAGGATAGAATTAATTCAGTTAGATTGAGGCCCTTGGCTGGGACTGTGCTGAACAGGGAGAGGGATGGACAGATTTTTCCACAGAATCAGATTAAAAATTCATTTACAGAAGCTAATATGCTCTTGGCCAATCTGGCATTTGATGACAAAGCACTTGTGAATCATGTAGCCCAATATAAGAACTGCATGGGATCCTCACAGACAGCCTGTCAGCATCCCAAAGTAAGGGATCAGGCTTCTGGAGATATTCCCTCTCATCCAAGCTCTTCACCCTTCTCTTTGCTGGCTAATTTCCAGACTTGCTTTTGTAGAGAAAGTGGGGAATACAGCTAGCTTCTCTTCTGAGACCATGTGAATTCTTAAGGATACCCTGTACTTCTACAGACATATTCTTCTTCCTCATCCTATGTGGAGATTGAGCTGGGGTCTCTGGTTTTGATCAATGAAGTTGGTGTGGTCTTAAGAAATGATGCTACCTGGATCCCTTGCTCCTCCTACCCCCAATGTGTCTTTTTTGGGGAGCGGGGGGACAAAAGTACTGAAGTTCCCTTTGAGACATTCTACTTGGGTTCGATTGTCCACAGTGGCCGTCTGCATGTCTACAGGCTGAAAGCTCTCATTATTCAAGGTCTTTAATGACCGTACACAAAATTTAACAGAGGCAGTTGTTTTCTGAGTATAGGAAGATTGTTCAGCTTTGGCTTGAAGCACTGGTCGTTGTTGCAGTGGTTTGGCCTTAGATTTCTAGAACTGCTAGAACGAGGCTGCCTTTTCTTCTCCCTGACCACCAATCGCTGAAACCACAAAACACATGGAAATATATTTTTGGGACTATCTGAAAGGCATGCTGGTAGTTTGACTCATAGTTTCAGAGGCTACCATTTTCTGATTGTGACTTGTTAGACAGTGTTTAGAGATACTACTAATTCATAGCTGTGTTAGGCATATTTAGTAAACTTAAAGTTTTGCTGTATTTAACATTAAGATGTATGGGCATTCAAAAGAAGTTTAGGACAGATCCCTTTCTAGGTATAAATTCTCACCCAAACTCTTAGGAATTTAAAACAACAACAATAGAATGGGCTTACCACCTTGCCCTTTACATCGAATCCTTTTGATGTTATTGTAATGGGATTCTGTACCTGGGGTAATATTTAGTTTATCTGCTATATGTGGATGTCTTAAACTCTTAGGAATTTAAAACAACAACAATAGAATGGGCTTACCACCTTGCCCTTTACATCGAATCCTTTTGATTTTATTGTAATGGGATTCTGTACCTGGGGTAATATTTAGTTTATCTGCTATATGTGGATGTCTGTGTTCATACAGTAGTGATAAGGGAAGCAGTAAGTAGGAAGAACTCACAGAACTGGAGGGTAAATGTAGGTAAAAGCCAGGTGTATGTCTGTATAATAGCACCCAGGACTTCTGTGTTGCTCTAAGGAGATAGCACATGTGGCAGCCCTTTATAAACTCTTAAGCTTTATAAACTCGCACATGAAAGGGATTGGAAGGTGAAACTGTTTATCTAGTAGTTCAACAAATATTTGAGTGCCTATCGAGTGTTACTCTCTAGCAGGCACTGGCATATGTCTCTTAGAACTTCTGCATTGTTTCCCTTGGGTTCCCAAAGATACCTTTGTGCTTGTGATACTTTCCTTTTTCTTGTAGCCCTCTCGTAGAGGGAATACTTGAAACCAGGACATGGAAAGTTGCCTGGATGGGTAGCAAACCTTTCTTGCTACTGCTTCTGTCTTTTCTCTTCTCTTTAGGAAGTTCTACTTCTTCAGGTTCTTGGCAGAAAATGGCCACATCACAGTTTCCAAGTTTATCTCACCTCCAGTTCCATTCATAGGTACACATTAAATGGTTCCATTTGGATCCTGATTCCTGAATACCTGGGAGAAGGAATCTGATTGGCTCAGCCAGGTCATGTGTCTATGTCTGGTCCAATCAAGTGTTTATAGTAAGGGGACTAGAGTTATGTGGTTTCTGAGGATCCACTCAGTTTGGGCAGAGGAAAAGAGACAGTTATCAGATATCATGGTGAATAAGACTGGAAATGTCCTTAACCTCACAGAGCTTATAGTCTAGCAGGAAAGGGAAACATTACACAAATAAATGTGGGGTGGTATGATAACCAGACCTAACAATACTGAGAATAGGAGATCCTGAAAACCTTCCGCAAGGTTTGGTGGGTGGGGTTAACCAAAGGCTGCCGTGGGTCATGGGTTGGGAACAGGGTGGCGGGTGGAGAATGAATGTTCCAGACAGAGGTGGCAATGGACAAAAAAGCCCACCAGCAAGAAAGAATTTGGCCACTGCAATGTGGAAGAAACAAATCTCCAAAAATTTCACAAAAATGGCCTGATTATGTGGCCATCCTCTTTGGCTTTGACTGGAAGTTCTTTGAGGGCAAGGACCATCTTTTTTTTTTTATTGCCTTTGGAACCAGTTGGCCTGTGGAGAATCTTACATAGCAGGGTACATTTGTTTTCATCGGGCAATTTCGTAGTACAATTTCTTCCCAGCTTACAGTTGCTCAGTATTGAAATCTTACATTTTGAGGTGTGTCTTCCAGCCATTCACTGAGAAGATGGATTGCAAACCGTCATAGTGTGCTTTCTCTCCCTCCAGGTTGGCAAAGAGGGATAAAAGGGAAATTTTGGTCAGTTTTGGAAGGGTCAATAATTGCCAGTCTTTCTTTTCTACATAAGTACTGCTTTTATATCAGTTCCCCTGACCCCCACCAAACCCCTGAACAGATGTTTTAATGGGCATTGTTGGCTATGCTTTTGTTTTGAATAATTTTTGAAACATTATTGAAACAGGAGAGGGGTAGGGAAAAACCCATAATTGATTCTAATATATATTTAATTTGGCAGAACTTGAGAGAGACTTGCTGGGATAAGGCGGGGCATTTCTTTGATCTCCCAGACTTCTTATCGTGGAAGGCAACAGGTGTCACAGCCCGGTATGTTAATAACAAGTCGGATTTTATTTATGCTCTTCCATTCTTGGTATCTGTATATATATTGCTTTCTTAACTCTTTTTGACTGGACATACTGTTTGTACATCTGCATGTGATTTTGCATACTTGAAACATCTTGAATCTATCTTCCATCTCCATTGCACATGCCCAAGCACTGTTGTTCCTACAAGGCCTGGAATGTGAGTATCCGAGGCAAAGACCATTCATTAAAATTGGACACATTTGAAGGAGATGTGAAAAATCCAGAGTGTAATGTGACTGTTTTTCCAAAGGCACTTCTTACATGGTGAATAAAAGGGGGAAAAATATATATATATGTGTATATATAGAGATATATATTTTATATACATATGTAGACACTTAAAATTAAGACAGGAGATATGTTTTTCAAGGAAGCTGATTTTAACTGGATGGGTGTATTAAGAGCTTATTTTGCTTTTTTATATAAATGTACCCTCATCATCCCATACTGTAGAGGTATGTATGTTAAAGTCAACAGCTATTTTTCAGTAAATTTATGAATGTTAAAAATAAAGTATGTGCTACATGACAGAGACTTTTATGAAGTACTCATTGAGTGTGAAATTGTGGCTGCTATAATTAACAGAGTGGGTGTGTGCATGGGTATATATAGACAGGTTGGCATGAAATCTCTTAAGTATGGCAAGTCTGTTTTCTTGACCTCAGATTTAAGGGGAAGCACAAGGGGGAGCAGCAGTTGTCTTATCATCTTAAAAATGATTTAGAATCTGGATTGAACAAACCTGCGAAGAAGAGAATCATTTCTCAGGGGACAGATAAACGTGTATATTAGGGTGGCAGGTGTTGTATCTTAAAGTCAGCTCATTCAGAGGGGGCCAAATCCTCCCCATTTTTCTTCTTTAAACTCGGGGAAGCCAGAAATAGTGGTACCATTTTCCATATGCTCCTCTGTCTCATCTTGTAGATTTGGACCATTTCTTGTTACAAGTTGATAAGGGTGTGATAGTTCAGCAGCAGAGACTTCCAGAAAGGAGATAGAAGAAGACACATTTCACAAGCACATCATTCTTCATGTCGACCACCCTCCTTGCTCACCCAGTGTAACAATCATTAGCCATAAGTCTCAGGATGGAGGATATCCATGTGGGTATGAAAATGACCTCAGCAGTCCTCAGATACTCACCCATCTCTGGCAGAGAAGGTTCTGGAGGAGTCGTCTGAACTTACCCTAGAAGGTATAATTAGTCACCATTGTAGTTATCACCAGTGGGGAGGGCAGGTGAAAATATCCTGGGTATTTGTCAAGCTAGGGCTAGGGATCACAGACCCCTCAAGCCCGTTGTACAGACTGGGTCACAAACCCTTCACATGCAGGTCCATGCTAGGTAACAGGAAAAGATCCTGGGAGCCATTGGCAGACGACACGAGCTCAGTCCTCAGCAGCAGCAGCAGTAACAGCAGAAGCAGCAGCGGTGGTGTACTCTTGGGGCATCCCATGGGCCCTTGCAGCAACAGCCGTAGTGGCCTCCCCATGGCCATCCCGGTGGCAGAGGGCCCTGTGGATCAGAGCCACTCATCCTTTATACTTAACTCTGTAACCCAGGACACCTGGGTGCACATGCGCAATTACATTAGACAATAACCAAGGAACACCTGGGCACACATGCATATATGTATCAAATGCTCGCCAAGATTCTGAACATCTGAGGGAACCCTGACCATTTTCCTTCACTTTCCCTACAGTATTCCTCTTTTGGTGTGACATTAATTGTCCAAAGTTATTTCTGAGAGGACCTTTCTCTAGGTTGTTCCCTACCTTTGTGGCACAGTGAAGGAAGTGTTTTGGTCATTTCAGCCAAGTGGACCTATTGGTCCAGGTGCTGCCAGTAGTTGTGTGTGTAGGCACTACCCCATCTGCCTGCAAACCTTGAGGACTAAAAAATGGAACTAGAGATGGAGGAGGAGCCTGCTCTCCTCCCCTTTTTCTTTGGGCATTGTTCAGCCCAGTGCTTTGACTTCTTCCCTGGTTCTTTCTGATGGTGAGGGGTATACTACACCCCAATTCCCTGCCATGTTCAGAAACCAAGGAGTGGGTTTTTTGAAGCTAGCTCTGGTTCAGATAGATTTAAAGGCAGTGGCAGTGTACACACTGTGGAGTCACCCAATGACTCGTCCTTGATTCTACCACACACTACTTGTGTGACCTTGGGCATGTCTCTTCCCTTCTTTGAGTCTCACTATCGTTATCTGGAAAATGGAGCTCGTGATACCAACCTCGCAAACTTGTGAGAGTCCTATTAAAGCAGTTTTTCCAGACTAGTCTGATTATAAGAATCACCCGAATCATTTATTCAAAACACAGATCCGCAGGGCTTCTAGTTTTCATCCTACTGGATCAGTGTTCATGGGAGATTTGTATGTTTAACAAGTGCCCCAGGTGGTTGTATGATCAGGTAAGTTTGGACAACATTGCCTAATGATATACATAGAAGTGTAGTATGTGACTGTGAGGTGCTCCACACTGGCGGGATTGGAATTATTTTAAAGGCCTAATGAGTATGGTGAATTTAACAGTGGAGGGCTTCCTGTTGACTTATCAGAACATGCTTGGGGGCTTCCATCCCTGCCCACAACAATCTCAAACTCTGAGGAAGCAGAAAGTTAGTGCTCAGAAATGATTTACTGGCTGTGCAGTCGTGGCTGCCATTTTTTTTATTGGCTATGCCGCTCATGACTCATTCCATTTTCATTAGTACAAATTAACAACCTCCCTTCCCCCACCCTACTTCCTACTTGTGAAGCACCTTCGGAGGCCTCCCTTCCAGAGCAGAGTTCCTCTGTAAAGGTGTTTGCCCTCTCCCCTGGTCCACTTACAGCTTAAGTCTCTGTTTTTCTCTCTTCAGTTGTTTACTTAGTATCTCAATTCTTTCTCCCTTCTCTATTTCAACGTGCCTGTCAAGGTGAAACAAGGAACCTCTCTGAGCTTTCTTGATGGAAAATGGAGACAGAACATGGGGTTATTGTATGGATGGAATGAGAGAGCAGAAAAGCTAAGTCAGTGCTGAGAAAATTTTTTAAAGGAAATGAGCTATCTTATTTAGTTCCCTTTATCAGTTTTGGCAGAGTCTTTACACTAAGTTTCTGGCATAAAGGAAAGAGGGAAATCTTGTGGTCAGACTGACCTGGGTTCAGTGTCTCTACTGTATACTGTCTGCGAGAACCTGGAGCAAATGATTTACTTCCCTGAGCCTCATTTTCTCATCTGTAAGCCCTCTCAGAGTTATTGAGAAAGTTAGAGGTACTGTGGATAAAATACTCATATGTAGCACATAGTATTTAAATGATAAAGGATTCTTTTAATGAAAAATTCCCATTGTCTGTCTCCTGTTCTAGAATAAGAGACAGGAGGGTCTGAATTGGAATGTACCAATGCCAAAATAACTTTGGGCCATAGAAGACAAACTTGGCATACTCTGGGCCAAGGAGAGGTTGAGATTTGGTGTTTGTTTAGCTGTTACGTATGATTATTTTGGGAGGCTTTTGGGAGATGAGTGCCAGAAAAGCTAGAGGGTGTTTTTTTTGGGTTTTTTTTTCGTTTTATTATTCTAGTGAAGTCAAGGCTAAGTGATTGGATTTCACCTTAAGTCTTTAAAACTTGTTTTTTGGCAGTGACAGTGTGTAAAAAGTGCTCCTACTCTTCCTCTCCTCCCTTTCTTATCTTTTTTTTTTTTTCCCCTTTATCCTCCAAAATAGGGCAGCTATTTTTGTGTAGAAAAATCACCACTGGGCCCATGTAAAGCTCCATTCTCTTCATTATATCAATGAAAATAATTATTGTTAATAATGGTAATTATCACTTATCGAGTGCCTTCCCTTTATCTGTACTGGACATATTAACAAATGGTTAACTACATTAGTCTTCACAACAAACTTTTAAAGCAGTTGGTGTTATTACCATTTTGTAATTCAAGAACTGAAGTTGAATGCTTCAATTGTGTGCCATATTCTAGCTATTGAATGGGTTATTGTCCAGAATTTTGGTAACGTATTAAAAGACAAAATTACAACAAATCTAATTTTGTAAATCTTAATTAGCTTTTATTTGTGATTCTAGAATCTGTCAGCAGTCTAGACCGATAATGGTTAAAAATGTTCCACCCCACCACATTTGCAGGTTATATTTAAAGCCACAGGAAAGGAAGTGATATACAGAAAACGGAAGTGCAGTACAAAGACAGCTCAATTGGTTAAAGATCACCATTTGCCTTAATTGAACCTGGTTTGAACATTTGGCTGCCTGTGATTGACTGAAACTCGGCTGCTGTGATTGGCTGAGAATCAGCTACTGGTTACGGGCATAGGTTACAGTCTGTTTACACATCATGTTAGGTTAGACTTCCTTATGTATAGAGAAACTTTTAGGCCAAACTTAATATAGGTACAGAGGCAGCTTTAGGTCAAACTTAATTCAATTTAACATATGAGAAACTGGAAGTCAGAAATTTGAATAATAAAGTTTCGTGTAATTAGACAAAACATATTCATATACATAAATCCTCCCTCTACAGAGATTTGAAGTGACTGGTAATAGGTAAGATAAACACAGTGGTAAGAATAGTAAAAAAAAAAAAAAAAAAAAAAAAAAAAATCAGAATGGAGTGAAAATATTAATAGAATAACTGAGTGGAAGCTAAGAGCTTCCTCTGAAACTATAAGGTTCTTCATAATTACTAATAGATTTGTTTTTAAGCTTCCTAGTGGCCAAAGCAAAGGTGGAGCATGATCAAGATTAACAGAAAACAGATTTGAAACAAACAAAAAAAACTCCTGTTCAGGAGAAGTAGAACCTTTTCTAACGGGGTCTGAGAGAAATTTCTCTTAGATTATCAAAGGTGGATAATATTTATAAATTATTTAAAAGTATGGCCTATTAAATTCAATAATAATTTTTTTTTTTTTTGTCTTTTGTCTTTTTTCTGTGTCCGGCAACGGATCGCAA